ATTTTAGGCGATAAGATCTAAAAATATATAACTCTATTTAAGTTAAGATATAAGAGACGCGTAGTTTTTTCGTAAATAGCTTATATATATGGTCGTCTTGCGTAATCTCTATAAATAAGACGAATCCGTTAGCGGCCGATTACGTAAATCTTCTAGAAATATTAGATTATATTCTAGCTTTTCTAAATTTCCGTAAAGACCTAAGTCTCTCTTAAGTTAAATTAAAGTATACTAAGTATAACGATATTAGAGAATTATGAGTTACCGAGAGCTCCGTGTAGAAAATAATAAAAGACGAATATAATCTTCGAAATAAGAGTATATAATAACGTCTTCTCCCTAGAATCTCTTCGCCCGCCTTACTCTCTTTTATAGTAAATAATCGGTTTTAAAATTAGTCTAGTACTAAAAATATTAATTAGTTCGTAAGAGATAATTATATTATAATACTAACGCTTATTTAGTACTATATTCTATTTACTAAATAAATTAAAATTTAACTGTCTAGTTACTTAGATAGAGATTATGACTTAATAGAATTAGAAAGACTAGTGTATCTCGTCGATCTAATATAATTTAGTATAGATAATAATATTCACTTCTCTAATACTATATACGTTAATCTTAGAGAAATTAGCTATGATGCCGCGCGGTGATAAGCTATTATTCTTACTTCCGGGACTAAATAAGAAGCTATAATTATTTATTCTAGAAAAAGATATCTCTCTTTATAGTTAATTCGTATCGGGACCGGATAATTCTTTCTCTTATAGAGGACTAAAGTAACGTCGTAAGAACGAGAACTAGTAGAACTCGAAATCGCTTAAAAGAGTTCGCTATTCTTTATTACGGCTTTATAATATCTATCGAAGTTTTACTCTCATTATAAAATTTTTAGCTAATACTTAGTAGCTCTTATAACGGCTTTAATTATCCCGTATTAAGAACGATTATACTGACTTTATCTCTCTAAACTACGTATCGAGAGCTCTTTTAGAGGTGACTCTTTTATCTTTTAATACGGCTTTAAGAAGTATCTTCGGCTTCTTTCATTCTATATATTTATTAGCTATAATACTTAAGATATAAGATCTCTTTTATATAGTCTCTTCTATAAACTAAGCGTATCTTATAATCTTATTAATTTATAGTTAAAAGGAATCTTTAAGACGATTAATTTTATTATTTAACGTAGTAACTATTCTAAACTTATAATAGTTATAGATAGATAGTAGTCTAGAATTATCTCGATATAGCTAAATACTATTATTCTAGATATTAAGAATTAAATTCTTTAGTCTATATATATCGATATATTTACTATTAATATACTCTTCACTATATAGACCTCTACGTCTTACTCGTTTATTAATCTAAGACAATATATCTCTTCGAGAATTAATAATTTAAGAATAAGTCGCGCTAATAAATATCGACTTCTTTATATTACGTAACCTAATTACTTTAGAGTATTTATTTATCCGTAAGAACTTTTTAAAGATATAAATCTATAAAATATAAATATCGAGATTCGAGAGTATACTTATTATACTAAGAAGTACTATTTATAATATAATAATTAGGTTTAGGATTTACGAGAAGATAGAAAAAGCGCTTCTAATCGTAGTTTCATCTCTAACGACGGCCTTATAAACGCTAATAAAATCATAGCCGATCTTCTAGTTAGCCCTTAATATCGGGATGGCCTTAATTCTAAAGGATTATCCGAAATCGTAACTTAAAGTATATTTAGTTAGTTACGATTAAATAAATACTTATCGAAAGAATAAGATATATAGATATATCTTTAGCTTAATATTAACGAATCTTCTAACGAAGAAATTAACGATCTCTTTAAGTGTATTAATGTAGATAAAGAACGGAGACTAACTATTAAGAATTAAATCTTAAAGTATATTAATAAATAATATAGAGATATCTAAGAAAAGTATAGATTTATAAGGGTTAGACTATTATAATAGAGGCTCTAATCTCGCTAGCTTCATTAACCCGTTAGATTCTTATACTTCTAAAATTCTATAGGCCCATTATACGAGTAATCGTTATATTTCCGGTAGATAATATACTAACTAGACGAGATATTAGTATAAACTTCGTGTTAATAGATTTTTTACGTTTTACGGTATTCTCGAGCGATATAAGTATAGATATTATATTTATTATTTTTATATTTATATCGCGAATTCTTATATATTTCGCTTCGTTCGGAGCTTACGGTTATTCTTCTATACGACCGATAAACGCGTCTTAGTTCTTAGAATATAAGTACTATTCGTTATATCTATATAAGAAGTTAGTAAAACTCTCTTTCTCTTCTTAGAAGAGAAGAATTCACTTCGAAACTAAAACTTCGAAATTTATAAGGTTTAAACTATATAGAGATCGATAACTATAGTCTAAAGCAAATCTAGGCGAGGTCGCGAATATACCGTAGAAGATATAGTAGACTTACTATAGATACTATTAACTCCGCTAAAAATAAGCTAAGCTATCTTCTTATATAGTTAGAATATAATAACGAACTAAAGAACTAAATAATAAGCGCCTATAATTAGTATCTTCTTATCGCTAAGAGAGTAAGATTTTAACTAGCTACGCTTATAAATAAGCTAAGAGCTACTTAGTAAGAATAGAATATAAAAGCTACTTAACTTCTACTCTAAAATGACTAAGATTTTATTAGGTAACGAACGAAATTAGTGTTTGAAAGCTTTAAGTCTAAGACTAGAAGAGATCGGCGATAGTCGCTAACGCTCCCGCGTTTCCATATCTTCTACGATAAGTTTCTTATATTTTGCCGTAAATTTAATAGATACTTAATGTCGCCGGGCGTAGCTACGGCCTAGATAATACTAAGTATAAAAGTAGAGTAATAGTAGTGACGGATATAGATAGTATTATATTAATTAAATAGCTATTCGAGTTTAGTACGACATTATTAAGGTAACCGTATTACGAATCATTTCTCTTAGAATAGTATTAACGAAAGCGTATATATGTTAGAGATCCTACTGGGGCCTAACTGGGTTAGGGTTCCTAGTAACAATCTGAATAGTATGAACTGGTTGTGGATCACGCAAGGTATGAACAGTCACTTGTCACTAAGAACTGTATAGTCCAATAGATAACATGAGTTGGCTACGAAGAGAGTGTAAGCTGTCTAGGGGTAATGAGGGTGTATATATAATGCTCATGCTCTGTGCGCTCTGCGCGCTCTGCACGCTCTGTTCCAACAGGGCCAGCAGAGCCAGCAGGGCATATCACGTGACTCAGCCTTGCTCCTTTGCGGATCCTTCTATGTGGCCAATGAATGTGGTGAGCCGCGCCCGTGCGGCCCTTGACCGGTCTCTTCCAAGGCTGTGTCTAACAATATATCGTTAATAGATAAAAATAAAATTTCCGGTCGTAAAGAGAAGAGATCGCCACGGCGCCGTATTATTTAAGCGTAATCGTAGTTCTTATTTTACTAACTTATATCTTTCGTAATCTTCTCTATAATAATCTTAATAAAAGCGTATATATCGTCGATAGAACTATTAGCATCGATCTTTTTATTAATTAGCCTAGCGAATACTATATCTACGAGTTATATACCGTTTAAAATAAACTCTTACTTCGGAGATACTTTTTAACTTTTAAGTTCTTCTAAGAGAATATTCGTAGACGTTTCTTTATAGAGTAATCGTTATCATTAATCCGACTAAATAACTCTAAGCGTCCGTTTAAGCGATGTAGCTAAATCTTTTCTAAGTATTTTAGAAGTATAGTAAAGAATCTTTCTCGAATCTATAATTAATAGTAAGTAAAAGTTTAATATTATATCGAAACTAATAATCTTTTTCTTAAAAGTATAGATCTAGTCTAAGCTTCTCGAAAATCTATCTAAAATAATAATAGATTTTATTTTTATTTTAGATTTCTTAATTCGCCTTTATATTAGACGTACTAAAAAATCTACTAAAATAATAACTAAGTTTCTAATACTATTCTTAATAAAGTCGGCGAAGCTAAACGAGATTAACTCTAATTCTTCGCGAAGAAGATTATTTACTAAAATATATATAGAAGATATATTCTAAATAATTTAAGTATATTATATTCTCTTCTTTACGCTAGAGCTTTCTATAGTGCTATTAGTTTCGAAGATAAAAAGACTAGAAAAAGTAGTAATATATCTAGAATAAATAAGAAGATTAGATTCTATATTACTTTAGAAGACTATAGTGTATTTCTCTCTTACTTTAAATACTTAGTTTAGTCTCTAAGCTCTAACGTATTAACTTTTATCTTTAGTTTTATAAATTCGCTAAGATTTATTACTAGTTACGAGCGCTCTTTATATATTATAGCCTAATATATATACTTTAGAGTATCGATACTACGAACTAGCTACGCTATTTTACTATTATTAACTTTAAACTCTAACTAGAGTTTCTTTATTTTATCGGTAAAAGATAAATTCACCGGTCTAATAAGATATATAAGGTAGATAAGAGTAAGACGTTCTTTAAGTAGCTTCTCGTCTATAAAAATATTAGAAAGTAATTTAAGACTAATAAATAAATAATAGAGAATATCTCTTAGAACGTTATCTAACGGAGTAATATCTTTAATAATCGCTTCGTCTATATTATAAGCTAACGCCATCTTAACCGCTTATATTCGAATTTCATCGTTAATTTAGTAGTTAGTAGCAAAGCTTTTTATAAATTATTCTCTATAAATATATCTTAAGAATCATCTAAATTATTATAACTATACGATATATATAGTTACTTACGCTTTCTAGAGACTTAATTCTCCGTTTTATCTAACCCTTACGCTAAATATTCTTTAAAGCCTCGAGAACTCGAAGAAATATAAACGATGAGATTAACTCTATTACTAATAAGTCTCTTATATATTTAGATAGAGTCGTAAGAGAAGAATATTATATTAAGCGAAATAATTAGTAAAATATACCTACATAATCTTTTTAGACTCTCTTAGCGCGACGAAGAAATATTACTTCGGTTCGGTACGGCCCGCCACGTATATTTACGATCTTCGCTCTAAATCTCTCCGACTTTCTTAACTACTTTCTAGAGATATTACGCGGATTCTCTTTACTAAGTTATATAAAAAGTTATAATTTTAACGTTAGCTCCGCTATATCTAATAGTATAATATCTTCTAGAACGAATACGCTTTTTCGGAAATAGTAATAGCGATATAATATTAGTAAAGAAACTTTCTACGCGCTTTAGAATATTCTTTCTATAGTTAAATATAATATAGAGCTCCAGAGATATAATAATATTAGTAACTAAGTATTTTCTTAGAGCGAGCCATCGGATTTAAATAAACGTCCCGCGAATAGATGGCTTCTCGACGAAATGATTCTTAGTATAGACGTAGAATATTTAATTATCGATAACGACTCTAACTCTTAGCTAAATACGGATGAGAACTTTATCTTTAGAAATTTAAATATTAAATAATTTAATGACAATATACTTACTAATGAATATAATATAGATACGGCCTATATATCGAAACTTTAATCTTTTTCGAATAATCTAGATCTTTTACCTAGGAATACCTCGATCTTAGTTGAGCGGCTATCTTCTAAAAACTCTCTATTATAGATATCGCCTTAGAGTGAACGTTTATCTAATGAAAAGTAATAAATAGTGTACTAGTATTATAACTAAGTCTAAATAAGCTATATAATACCTTTTATAACTACTCTACGTAGGAAGCGTAATATCGTCTAAGACGCTGTAGAAGGTAAGATTATTTATAAGAGATAAAAATTAATTAAATAGTACATTAAATATTAAATTTCTAAATAATCGGTACTACTTACTTTCTTTTTAAAAATTTATAGCTACTTATATCCGTATAGTGTAATAATATCGGTAGTTAATATAAAACTTACGTATTTATAAAAATATCTTAGAAAATCTATATATAAATGAGATTAGCGAATTACCCCGTATTCTATAAATATAAGGTTTTTTCTATAAAAATAATTTAATACTAAGACTATATAGAGAAGAATATAATCTATAGTGTAAGACTTAAATAGTTATATCTTCATTAGAAACCGTCTATAAGACTTACTATACTTCGATATAAAGAATACGACTCTATAATTATAGTTAACGTATATAAATTTTATAAATCTTCTCTAGATAAGATATTTATTTATTAGAAGGAGAAAGATAGCTAGAATTATACGGAGATAACGATATTTAGACTAAAAGCGTACGAGATAAATCTAACGAATTATATTAATTAATATTTATTATACTATCTCTTATATACGGAAAGTTAAAGTTATCTTAGATAAATTCTTACTAAACTAGAGGTAGGGTTAGGTTCTAAGGTTAGAACGCTCTTAGTCTAGAGAATACTTAGTTAATATTCGGTAGATTAATCTTTTAAATCGAATATTATAATTATAAACTATAAATCGTCTTCTAATAAAAGATTAGAAATTAATCGAGAAAGAATTATTAAATATAAATCTTATTAATAAAGATAATTTATTTTTTTATTGTATAATTCTAGTTTCTCGTATAATATAAAATTAATTAGATAGTAATCTTAAGGATTTTATTTTTAAAACCGAGAAGAGAGTATTAAAGAATCTTTAAAAGATAATTTTAAAACGATCGACTTACTTATAGAATCTTATCTATTTAACTACGATTATACTTTTATATATACTTAAGAAAGATAGTTAGAGACTACTATATTAGAAGTATTATTCTTAAGATATAAGTTATTATATAGTCTTTATTAAACTCTACTAATTTCTATAAGCGCTATATTTAGAGATACTCTAAGTTTTCTAAGAAGTTAATAAAGATAAATATATATTTCTCTAATATATTAATAATACATATACGTTTTATAGATTAAGTCTCGCAGAGCTTAAAGTCCGTATTAAAGAAGATAAGTAAGTAAAATCTAAATACTATTAGCTACGTATAGCTACGTACTTTAAGCTCGATTATAGTAAAACTAAACTATAAGTATAAAGAAACGAATAATAATAGTATTAATGACTCTCTAAATTATCTTATATTAAAGAAGTCTTTTAATAATTTAGTCTCTATAAAATATTTTCTCTCTTCGATAGATAATATAGAATATTAAGTTTGATAATTAATATAAGTAATATTCGCTTAATCTATCGACTATATAAAACTAAGTTAATATAATGCGAGACTTCTTAACTAGATTATTTTTCTTTCTTTACACCGCGAGCGTTATTCTTTTTAGAGACTTTTACTATTCGCTAAAGATTATTTAAGCTCTAACTTTTATAGTAAAAGATTTAATTTAATTTCTAAGCCGGGTAAACGAGGAGACTAATTTATACGCTACTAAATCGAAAGTATTTAGTTCATAAATTACGAAGATACTATAAAACGATGATTAGAATATAACCGCTAAAGCTCTCTATATATTACTTAAAGCACCTATAGATAGTTATAATTTAGTCGCCCTAATCTTAAAATTCTAATTACGTTTATATCTTTAGAGTTACCTATTAATATATTATTTAGCGGTGAAAGAAAAGACTAGAGACTTCGAGTATTCCTTAAAAACTAACTAAATATAAGCGTTTAATACTTCTAACTAAGAAACTTAACGAAGCTTTAGATATTACTATATTTTCCATCTATTTTTATTAAATATCTACACCTTCTATTATAACAAGGCAAGGTGGCTGTGCTGTGATGAGCTGTGCTAGGCTGGTAGAGCGGTGGCAAGATGAAAAAGTTATTTAGTCACATGTTAAACCTAAATGGGCTGGTAGAGAGGAGGTACGGAACAGTTTACAGTGCTGGCAGTGTGCCATTCATTTTTACAGATTGAGCAGAGTATTATGAATTCCATGGCTTTTAGTGCCGTCTATCTAAATCCTGAGAGTGTTTTATTAGTCCTGTTCTGTTCCTCGATGCTGCCGCTGTACTAGGTGTTCGTAGCCCTAGCCGCTGCCTCTCTGGGTGGTGTTGGTGGTGTTGTTGTCAGTATCAACCAGAAACGCGTTCTCGATTCCCGATCTGCTGGACAGGCCTTTATGCGTTGTTGCACGTGCACGCCAAACCCCGAAGTGCTCTATTACACTATTAGCGAGATTCTCTTATCGAATATATAAGAGTTATAATAACTTAAGTTAATATACGGTAAACTAAATGTAACTTATCGCTTAACTTTAGAATTTTATTTGAGTAATATTTAAGTAAGTCTCTACCGTATTAATTAATTATATTTAGTTTTTCGTACTAAAATTTAGATACTTTATTTAGGAAATTTAAAATTTCTATATTATAAAGCTATTAGATGGAAATAAAATTCTCTAAACTACGGAAATATAGCACTATTTATATTACGTAGAATCTTTATTTTCTCTCTCTATAAAATAACTACAGTTTTAGATATCTATAAGAAGTAACTCTTATTAGAATATTAACGGAAGACTTAGATATAATTATATTCTCGTATATTAGTATAGTAAAAACGATATTTAATCTTAAAATACTTAGAGACTTTTGCGCTATTAATGCTTCTCGAACGAGACGCGCGGTTTAGAAAGAATATAATCGATAGTTCTTAAACGAAGTTAATTTTACTTTTATATAGCGCGGAGAGAATATTATTATATCACTAATAAATTAGTTAAAAGAGAGTAAAGACAATACTAGTATCTTTAAAATTCTCCGACCTTAAGAAAGTAATAACTCTTATATTCGACTTAAAGTCGGCCGGATAAATAAAGCTAAGAAAGATTTTAAGCTCTATATATTTTATAGATATCTAAAAGTTACTACTAACTATATTAGACTACTAAATATTATAATGAAACTAAATATAATGAGTGATATCTAAACTCTCTAATATTAACGCTAAGTTTACTTAGCCATCGATTATTAGAGAATTGCTTCTTCTTAGATATAAGATATACGTAGCGTTAAATAAAGTATACGAAAATCATCTCGTATAAGATTCCGTAACTTCTCTAAACTAATACCTTTAATAAATACGAGATTTAGAGCGGCTCTTAGAATAGTAAAGCTTCGAAGATAAGGCCGCGCTCCTTACTAAAGTCGAAAATATATATAGATTATCTAGAAGTATTTATTTTCTCTAAGCTTTCGTCTCGATATTTATCTCTTACTTAAAATCGATAAGTCGTAAACTTATCTATATAATTAAAGATAATAATATTATTAATATAGATAATTTATATTGTGAATAAATCGGATAAGTTATATATAGCGCGAAGTTCCTAAAAATATATAAGAGAAAGAGTACTAAAGGAGACAACGAATAGAGAAAAAGAACCTCGAGATAATCGGATAAAGAAAGATACTAGATATATTGTAATAAGGCAAGGTGGCTGTGCTGTGATGGGCTGTGCTGAGCTGATAGAGCGGTGGCAAGGTGAAAAAGTTATCTAGTTATATATTAAATCTAAATGGGCTAGCAGAGAGGAGGTGCGGAACAGTTTACAGTGCTGACAGTGTGCCATTCATTTTTACAGATTGAGCAGAGTATTATGAATTTCATGGCTTTTGGTGCCGTCTATCTAAATTCTAAGAGTGTTTTATTAGTTCTGTCCTGTTCCTCGATGCTGCCGCTGTGCTAGGTGTTCGTAGCCCTAGCCGCTGCCTCTCTGAGTGGTGTTGGTGGTGTTGTTGTTAGTATCAACTAGAAACGCGTTCTCGATTCCCGATCTGCTGGATAGGCCTCTATGCGTTGTTGCACGTGCACGCTAAACCCTAAAGTGCTCTGTTATAATATAATATCGTTAAGCTCTAACGATTCGCTCTAACGATCTTACTATTTCGTTAAATTAACTCGTCGATTATTCTAAGTTTAATATTATTCTTATATTTAATCTAAGAATTTACATTCGTTATTCTCTATTCTATATAAGATCGCGGGACTCTAAGACCTATCGATTCTATTAAAATTAAGTATAGATAAAGATAAGCTTAATAGTAGTTCTTAGAGTATAATAATTCCTCGGGAATTTCCGGAGTTATATTTAGTAGAGATATATAGATATCTATAAGTTTTAAGATTATAGCGGAATAGATTCTTTAATTTAGTTAACTCGAATACTAAGTTATAGTATTACGGAACGAGATATACCCGGGTCTAACGTATCCAATAGAGAGACTCTAGCTTTAAGAGTACACTACTAAACGAACGATAGCGGAAAGCTTAGTAAATATAGAGAGATCATTTCGTGCCCGCTAAAGATTAATATTTACATTAGTTACTTCTATAGTATTCTAGTAATATAATCATCGTTTAAGATAATTTATTAAAGTAAGAATGTAATTTAACTTTTCGATTATTTAATTACGTATAGAAGTAGTATAGTTTCTTAGCTCTTATCGTTAGCCGTAGTAGAGTTATACGTAATATAAATAGTCTCGATATTCGGTTTAGTCTACGATCTTTTATATCTTTAAGAGCCTTATAATATAGTTAAACTAAGAACCTCTAACGGGTAGAGCTTCAGCGCTTAAGCTATACCTTCTTCGTTCGATGTAAGGTCGCTACGGTGGTCGATATATATAGACTAATATATCTAGTAACGAGGATCTAAGAG